TTCAACCACCACTACGATTCTGGATATAAGCCGAATGCGGGGCACCTCCCATAGTAGGGAATAGGAAAAGGAAGGGAGGGAATGAACAACGCCAAGTAATTTGTTTATATGAACCTGTATCTTTATGTGTGGAACTTCTACTCGGGGCTCTCCAAACCGTGCATTTCTCTTTGTATTTCAATTGAAAATAATTGATTAAATATTCCATTGTGGCCTGTATGTCGGTACGTGCCCATGAAATTCCATCAGTATTTCATGGGCACATATCGCCTGCTGAATAAATACGGCATTGATTTCTTCATAATAATTTATAAACAGTTCGTTTTGGATTCTCCGTAATCAATAACCATTAACCTTTGGTACACCTGACTAATCTGGATCTTTGGGTAGGTAATCGCTGCTTCAAAACTCCAGCTGTCCTTTTGTCTACTGTATAGTAGATTCTTCGTGTTGTTAAGGCTATCAAGCCGTTCCATTCCAAGGGAAGCTGGAGGAAAATGCCTTTGATCGGGGTAATGTAATGAATAGGTGCTGGGTTCGGTGTGTGCCTATATAAGTTCGGTTCCTTCCCAGTAGGACGACACGCGTTACCCGCAACTCAAAGCTTTCAAGAAACGCTTTTGGGACTATGCCTGCAAACACTTTTCTGGGATAAATCTGCTCACTGTAAAGATCAATTGAGGAAAAGGATCTGAAAGCCGTCTGAGAGCACTTCAGGGACTTTGTGATTGCCGACTTAGTGGGTGTTTGAATGTCGCCCATGAGATGCACAGATTAATACCCAAGGTTACTATCTTGCCAATCATGTGGATAGGGCCAACCTTTCAGCTCCATCCCAGTCCAATCGTACTCCTAGTATCCGTATGTATATGTCAAACAAACATCATTCGCCTCTTTTCCTGCTTCTTGTATTCATTTCTCAGTTTTTTTTTTCATTTGCTGCCTCATTGCTTCCCAATTTGAGCGACAGTGAGTTAGGTATGATTAGTGTTGAATTTATGTATACCCTAGAAAACGACCCAGTTACCTTCAGTGGCTATCGGTTGCGGTGGAATTGGAGTGAAGCTCTCAAATTCCTTCGTTAACGCGTTGTTGAAAAAAGTTGACGTACGGTTCGACCATGGATTATTTTTGGAATGCGCCACACAGACATGCTTCTATTCAGGATCGCCGAGGCATTGTTAATGCGCATACGGGCTTTCTTGTACAAGTCTGTGACTGGTATGGTGGCAAATAACAAAAGCCCGGATGAAAAAGGTGACGGAGACATAGGTACAGCTTTGCATTTGTCGGTCAATCGGAAAAATAGAAAACTGCCCACATGGATCGATAAAAATTGAAAAAAGTCCCTGACATCAGACATGAGTGGCCAAATGAATGTTATCATAGTGCAAATATTATTCGATGCATAACATGAACGGTCTGTTCATGCGCGCTATCACTCACGAGACTTTCGCTGTCTCCCGCGTTCAATCGGCCAGTTTGCACAGCGTTCGGTCAGCTTCCCCATTCTCCATCACCGTGGCCACCACCAGTGGCTGATTTTGGCCATATTCGAATTCATCTGGTTATTTCTGCTTTTCTTTTTCCTCACCTCATTATTCTTAGAACCAGCAATAAGCCCCAATCGCCAGTTGACCGGATCCAAGTGCAGTTTCGAGTCCTAAAGGGACAAGCTCTCCACGTTTCCGACCTCTATGTATTATCGAACACATACTACTGTTCACTCTGAAGAGAGACGCAAAGATAGCTCCTCTTTCAGGTGGAAATTTATACTTGCATTACCAGTAGGGCTCTATTGTCTCGTTTTTTGTAAAGATTTTGTATTTGTAGCTTAACCAGTCCAACAGCCCAGCGCCCATTTCCCTCACTAACCTACGTCACTGTCTGATTTGTTAATTCATTCAATCTAGTAAATATGTTTACTTATTTTGATAAAAACCTGTCCTATCCATCACTTGGAACGTTGTTTTTAAGTAAGTAACAGTACGATTTAGAATCTTCCCATTTCAACAAAATATCATGACTTCAATTACTTCATGATTTTGTTGTGCTTTGCTCACATACCTTTTTTGGTTTATTTGAATTTTTCTATTTTTTCTTCTTATTAGTCTCAAAATCGGACGAAGGTGGTGTAGTGTAAGGATAACATATGTATGGTTCAGAGATCGAGTCCTGCATTGGAACCCCCTCAGACCAAGGAAGCCTTTCTTCTCTACGGGATCAGCTTGTTGGTACCAGATTAGTTCAGGAGAGTAAGCGTTCTACCTTGTGCATCGGCTAACCACCGCAATTCTTTGTATAGGCTGCAGACGCATTGAAAGCGCCACTACGCTTCTGAGTGGAAGCTGAATGCGGGGCGCATCCCACAGACGAGACTGATCAATGCCAGAGACTTTACTCTTTATCCTTTATCCTTTAAGTCGTAAAAGATGCTAAAAGTATCAAGCAGAATAGTTGATTCATTCCCGACGACATTTTAAAGTTTGTAAAATGCATGTCATAGGACATGACTTCAAGGGAGGAGCTCCATTGCAAATAACATTTTCTATGGGAGAAAAAAAGGACCTCATTGCATGCGAAATTTCCGTAATGCCATGTCCGATTATGGAAAAAAATCCGAATTATTTCTGTTTCAAACTGCTTATATGAGGATTAGAGGTGACGACCATTCGATAAAAAGCACTTTTGACGGTGCAATTTTAGAACTGCTCGTATCAACTGTGAAAGTGTTACGTATCGGAAGATACTTTCGTATTCCTCAAAACCAGTGTTTTCGGATGGATGTGTACTAATACCTACTTTAGATCGTCATGGTTACGGTTGAGTCAGAAGCCATCAGGTGCTATGTTTTACGGCCACACAAAACTGAAATGAACTGGGAGAAGTACTGGTTTCACGTCGGAAATTTTATGGCCGTAGAAAGCTGCACCCAACAGATGGGACATTTGCAACCAAAGGACAAAAGGGAACGGAAGAAGCTTTTAATTGGAACTACTTCTGTTTCAGGCAGTGTATCAGATGTTTAGGAGAGTGCTGCAGCGATTTCAAGTAGACGGACTACGGGAGGATCAGTACTGATCCTCAGAAATGGGACCTACCTTATATGGTACGGTGTAAACAATGTGTTGACTGTCAACAATAATTCATGCTGTAAGGACCGGCGGTTTGTTCTGAAACGTGTCTGCTTTCTCGACAACTTGAGAACATGAATCAGAGGCACTCAAAACCTGGAAGCGAGCCAGCGAGGCCCGGAGTCACTGACATAAAGTCAGGAATCCTTCACTTTAAAGGCTTTTCTCCCCACCAACTGAAGACCTGCCAGGCAAGCCTTCAATCAAGCACCCTGCAGGAGTCGAATCGCGTTCACTACCTTCCCCGAAGATTTACGTCATCCGCAAAGATTTCCAAAAAGTTGTTATGTGCACCTTCCAGCACCGTGGACGACCCCAAATGAGGTGTTTCTTACCCAGTTTTAATTTTCAAACGGAAAATCGAGAAGACTCTCTCGAGAAGTTTCCTTTTCTTCGTATACTTCGTTAATATTCCAGCACATGTGGCTGGATGTGGCGGATTAACTACGTGGTGAGCGGATTAGCTCCCCTTGAAAAACTCGTCCCATCGATGAGTCACATTGTCCCTCGTATCGGCGCCACGCCCTTACTTCACACTCTTCGCTGGAAGTACAGCTTCTACAGCGCTTGACGTTTCCTGCTCCTTCCTATACTCGATTTCCACTACGAAACTCACCTTCAGAAGTTACTTCCCAAAGGAAACCAAATTATTTCTCCTCTAGCAGTAGATCGCACAACTGAGGGCGGGAACCAGGTTCCTAGCGAGTATGTTAGTGTTTCGGGAGGGAGGAGTATGGGGAGCGGACGCTTCTGATTGGCAGGAAGTAGTTCTTCCACTGCATATTTCATCATACATACACGTGCATAAAAACCTGCTTCGGAAAGCTGCTGCTTTCCTGACAAATCGGTGAAGGGGGAATTTCTGTGGGTTTTTGGAGTGTGTTCCACGGTGCTCTACAGAAATAACACAAATCTGAGGCACTCATTATTTCCACCATTTGTGGAAATTGCCCCTGCAACTGACCTGCTCTGGCACTGCCACTGATTCCTTATCGAGTTGCGCCATGCATTCACCTTTTCATCCACGCTCCTACCGACCTTTGAGCTTTAAGTGGATCCGTACAGTTATGCCAACCAATTTTGACTGAACGAATAACATAACGGTATTATTGTCGCTGAACCATCGTCGTCATAGAAACGACGTTTCACGTGGGGTGGCATCTTTTGAGTGTTGTTTGCCTAACAGCTCTACGAATGTTCTCGTTCGAGGAGGCAAAAACCTCCGAGTATTGGCGATCAAACGTCAGTCGCTCAATTTCGAAATCACCTCGACGAAATGGTTTTATTTTTCATAGTTCCCATTAGAAGAGCTCTCTTTCTGTACACTTTCCACTTTGCTCTATAGGTCTCCGAATCTCCGGCATTCCGGAGCACCCCTATTACGTGCCGAGTTCGATGTAGATGTATTAAAAACGAGGGCACTGGTTTTCCATACAGTTTGGGTAACTGGTTTATGTTACGTAATGGGGACAGACCGGTATCTATACCAGTAATTATTCCTCAGAAACTTATGATTAAACGAGCAATTGCCAGCGTTCTATGTGGTAGACACTACACGTAAGTTCGATCCATCAATCACCTATATGAATCTCTCTATTGTTTGGGCGCTTTTTCTTAAAGAACTAGCTTTTGTTGGAAGCCCTTTCTTTCGTGGTTTCGGACATCTCTTTGGGACAGCGTTGGATTTTAACTCCCCTGTGAACAAAACCCACCACGACACCGGATACCCTTGTTTGCATACGGATTTTAGACTCATTTAAGGCCACCCCATCGATCCTTTTCTCATCGATTGCGAATCTTTGCATCATCCGCTACCTGAACCTTCTCCGTTAACCTACCTGTTGCAGTAATGGCCAATTATTTCAGATGGGACGTGAGAAAGATGTCTCAACGCGATTGATTCGACCGACTATTCCCGAATTTGATACAGCACGATTGCTTTTGTTTGTCGAACGATGGGATCCCAATTGGGAACATGATGCTTCTATAAAGGTGCTCTTCGAAATGCTCTTTCAAGAGTCTTTTCATGTACGCGACTTCCCCACTGTTTCCTACAACAACCACATTGTGTAG